GAAAGAAAAGAAAGAAAGAAAAGAAAAGAAAGAAAGAAAGAAAGAAAAGAAAGAAAAAAAATGACTTAAAATAAAATAGCGGAACGAACGGACGAATGAACGAACTAAAGAAAAAAACTAAAGAATAAAAAAAAAAGGAAAAGAAAAAAAAAAAAAGAAAAGGACGAAAGAAACTTAAAATAAGAGCGGAACGAACGGACGAATGAACGAACTAAAGAAAAAACTAAAGAAAAGAAAGAAACTAGAAAGAACGAAAGAAAGAAAAGAAAGGAAAAAAAAACTTAAAATAATAAAGCAACGAACGGACGTAAACGAACTAAAGAAAAAAACTAAAGAATAAAAAAGAAAATGGAAAGAAAGAAAGAAAGAAAGAAAGAAAGAAAGAAAGAAAAAAGAAAGAACGAAACTTAAAAAAGAGCGAACGAACGGACGAATGAACGAACTAAAGAAAAACTAAAGAATAAAAAAAAGAAAGAAAGAAAGAAAGAAAAAGAAAGGACGAAATGAAACTTAAAATAAGAGCGGAACGACCGGACGTAAGGAACGAACTAAAGAAAAAACTAAAGAATAAAAGAAACTGGAAAGAAAGAAAGAATGAAAGAAAGAAAGAAAGAAAGAAAGAAAGAAAGAAAGAAACTTAAAATAAGAGCGGAACGAACGGACGAATGAACGAACTAAAGAAAAAACTAAAGAATGAAAGAAACTGGAAAGAAAGAAAGAAAGAAAGAAAGAAAGAAAGAAAGAAAGAAAGAAAGAAAGGAAAATTAAAAGAGTGGAAAAAATTAAAACGAAATAATGCTGAAAGCATACACAACCTGAAAGTGAGAAAGAAAGAAATATACATAAAATGAGAGCGGAGAGAAAGAAAGAAAAACGAAAAATTGTAAGAAGAGCAGAAAAGAGAAAAAGCAAAATTGAAAAAATACATAAACAGAAATAAAGAATAAAAAAGAAAGAAAGAAAGAAAGAAAGTGAGAGGAGCGGAAAAAAGTAAAACAAAAGAAAATTGAAAGAATATGCAACCTGAAAGAAAGAAACAAACATTTTTCGCTATCTAATGACTGTCTTTTTGTCTCTCTAGCGCTCTCTCTCTCTCTCTCTCTTTCTCTCTCTCTCTCTTTCTCATTCTGTCTTATGTTTAACACTTACTCTTTGTCTTTATCTTCTTTCCTGTCCCTTTCTCGCACTATATCATATCTCTTTCCTTTTTTCTCTCTCTATCTTATGCCTATCTTTTCTCTCTCTCTGTCTCTCTCTCTCTCTCTCTCATACGTAACTTTTCTCTATGTATCTCTACTTTTTTTTTTTTTCTTTCTTGTTCTCTCTTTCTCTCTCTCTCTCATACGTAACTTTTCTCTATGTATCTCTCTCTCTCTTAGTTTATCTTTTTTGTTTTTCTCTTTCTTGTTCTCTCTTTCTCTCTCTCTCTCTCTCTCTCTCTCTCATACGTAACTTTTCTCTATGTATCTCTCTCTCTCTTTGTTTAACTTTTTTGTTTTTCTCTTTCTTGTTCTCTCTTTCTCTCTCTCTCTCTATATATATATATATATATATATATATATATATATATATATTATTTCCATCTCGTTTCTTTTTTACCCTCTACTTCATGTATATGTATATCTCTCTCTCTCTATCATATGTTTAAGTCTTTTCCTTTTTCTCTCTCTTTCTCTCTCTCTCTCTCTCTCTCTTTTTTCTATATATCTATCTTATGCCTGTCTCTTTTCATTCTTCCCTCTCTCTATCTCATGTCTTTCTTTCTCACTATCCATCTATCTACTTTAACTCTCCCTCTTTCTCTCCCTTTCTCTCTCCCTCTCTCTCTCTCTCTCTCTCTGTGCATGTGTGTGTGTGTGTGTGTATACATTTTATGAATATATCTTTTCTCTATCTCTTTCCCGATCTGTCAATCTCTTTCTTTTTCTTGTCCAGCCTTTCTCTTTCTCTCTTTTTCCTCCCCCTCCCCCCTCTCTCTCTCTCTTTCTTTTGTCTTTTGACTTTCTTTTCCTCTTACTCGTGTTTGTCATTTTCCATTTTCTTCTTTCTTTTTCTCTTTTTTCTTTCTCTTTTTCATGTTCACTTATTTCTTTCTTTTTCTCGTTCGTTCTCCTTCGACGGTTTCCTTTATTCCCATCCGCGCCATTTTTATTTGATTTCGCTTCTTTTCGTTAAGAAACCACCCACTCCCTATACTTGCTTTCCTCCTCACACTCCCTTGACGACTCCCACCGTCACCACCGCCTTTGGATTTCTTCTTTTGACTCGATCACGCTTCATAGACTTGACGAAGTCTCGCGGCAAATATCGCTAAGTCGATATTTCATGCAAAGACAAAATATTTATTAACCGACATTTTTGTGAAGAAAGAAAATTATAAATGAATCCTTTTTTCTAAGTTAAATTGTCCCTGTCTCAACTGTCATGACCATTACCGACCCCCACCCCCCTCACGGACGTTATTGTTAATTTCATTCTCTTTTTCCATCATTTTTGTTGCCTCCATCTCAATTTCTTTTTCTTCTTCTTCTTCTTCGTCTTTTCCGCATTTTTTCTTCCTTTTCTCCTTTCCTCTTCTTTTTGTTGTTGTTCTTCTTCTTATTATTTTTCCTATTTATTATTATTATTATTATTATTATTATTATTATTTCTCAATTTTTTTATTCATTTTTTATTTGTTACATATTTTTTCTTTCATTTTCTTGTTTCTTCTTACTCAAGCAGTTGTTTATGTTTTCTTTTTCCACATCATTGTTTTCGTTATTCTTCTTCTTCTTCTTTATCTTCTTCATTATTATTATTATTATTATTATTATTATTATTATTATTTATCCATTCTTATAATGTCTATTCTATATCTCGCCTCTTCGTCTTCTTGTTCATTTCCGCTTCTTATTTTTTTCCTTCTTCTTCTTCTTCTTCCTCTTCTTCTTCTTCTTCTTCTTCTTCTTCTTCTTCTTCTTATTATTATTATTATTATTATTATTATTATTATATTTACCCATTCTTATAACGTCTATTCGATATCTTCTTTCTCCGTCTATTCATCTTCCTTCTTGTGCTAGTTCCTGTTCTTCCTCCACTTCTTCTTCTTCTTCTTCTTCTTCTTCTTCTTCTTCTTCATTAGTATTATTTTTATTATTATTATTATTTATTCATTCTTATAATGTCTATTCTATATCCCGCTTCTTCGTCTTCTTATTCGTTTGCTCTTCTTCTTTTTCTTCTTCTTCTTCTTCTTCTTATTATTATTATTATTAGTAGTAGTAGTAGTATTAGTATTAGTAGTAGTAGCAGCACTAGTGGTAGTAGATATAGTAGTAGTAGTAGTGGTATCTTAATTTATTTTCCTTCGCATTATTAGTCTTCTTTGATCTTAAATTTCTTCCATTTCATTCTAAACATTTATATATTCTTTCAGTTTCTTTTACTTTTGCTTCCATCGCATTATTATTATTATTATCATTATTATTATTATTATCATTGTTATTAAGATTATTATCTTTGCTGACTCATCATTATTATCGTTAGAATTAATGCCATTATCACGAAGGGGTGTTGAAAAATTCTAAGCCCGACCCACTTCCTAAATTCTGACCAAATGACCCAGCGTCCGATTATTTTAATATTTATTTATTTGTTTGTTTTCTTGCAAGGTTATCTTGGTCGGTGTGAGAACTTTTCAGCACCACTTCCCCCGACATCTTTCCAGTTTTCTTCATCCCCCTTAGCTACCATTCCCACCCCCATTACCTTCTTCTGAATTTTAATAATAATAACAATAACAACAACAATAATAATAATGAATGAATGCAGAAATGTTAGAAAGAAAAAAAGAATTATTTTTTTTCCATTAAATTCATTCGTTCACTTATTCTTTCAATCTTCATTTACTTTCGCCGTTTCCATGGAGAATTCAAACTTTATTTCCCATCCTCCAGTTCTATGTGCACCAGGCCTTTTGCCTTCAACCTAACCACTGCACAGAAACCTCTCCTTATTGCTTCCATAGGTAGACTTTAATACGAAACCACCCCCACCACTCAGAAGTATGCTTTTATGTGAATGTCAATCAGGATATATATATATATATATATATATATATATATATATATATATATATATATATATATATATATACTTATGAATGTATACACATACGTACACACACAAAAGGTGATGCTGAAAAACTCTCAAGCCTGAAGCACTTCAAAATCAATATTCTGATATTTGGTGATTTTTGGAACTGGGTCGATTTGCGCGGGTTGTAGGTGCAATATATATATATATATATATATATATATATATATATATATATAGATAGATAGATATAGATAGATAGATAGATAGATAGATAGATAGATAGATATAAAAGTGAACATTGAAGTCACCACTTAGAGGCGACAGGCTGTTTCATTCTAATCCTGACGATAGCGTCTAGCATGAAACAGCTTCCTGTAAGTGTTGACTTCATATTTACACACGCCCTATCTCTGATATTGAGCACTTTCTATCCCATAAATATAGAACACCTTATATATATATATATATATATATATATATATATATATATATATATATATGAAAATCAAACAAAACCTTTTAACTTTTATCTCCTGTTAATTCCCCTCTCTAAGTTCTTAACTGCACGCGGATCTAGAACAGTCTACCACATGGAGCGAAATAAAGGGTTCAGTTCGACTTTCCAAGCACCTGAAAAAGGCCGGAGCGTACAACGGCCGAAACGTTGTAATAAATATGGCGACAAAGATGAGGACAATAGTCCGAATAATGTAAATAATGTACATAATACCTCGTCTCAGAAATATAGACAGATATATTTTTTGAATTGCCAATAATCAAATCAATCTCGAAGGAAAAAAAGGTTTTAAAAAAAGAAAGAGCTATAAACATGAAAGTCTGTCGAAAAAAACCGCACAGATACAGATTTGAATCCCACAGAAAAAACCCGACCCTATAGGTTTGACTACATATATATATATATATATATATATATATATATATATATATATATAATCAAACAAATCCCTTTAACTATTATGGATGCTGGCTATTTGGGCAGACGATGAAAGTGGTCGTCTTGATTATTAATTATATTCCTCTGTATCAGTAAAATACATATACGTGGATCAGTTCTAATATTTTTTGTATCAGTAGGACCATCTTGGATTATATACCTTACTATATATATATATATATATATATATATATATATATATATATATATACATTCACTTACGTACTAATACGCTTGGGAAAAGTGTGAATCCTCTTCTTCTCCCTCCAGCTATGGGTAAATAGCATCACAGACTGGGTTCTGTAGCCTTAGATGGCAACTGGTCTCGGAGAAGGACAACTCTGAATTCAAAACTTGCACTTAGTGCACTAGGTCTCTGTATTCGGCCCTTCAAAAGGGTGGATGGTCCTGCACGAAACCTTCACCACTATAATCAAATCTCATGTGCTGTTGTCGGGCTGTCGGTTTCCTGAACTGATCTGCTTGACTCGCATACGTCGAATTCGACGGCAGAGTCGAAATATATATATATATATATATATATATATATATATATATATATATATATATATATATATATATATATATATATATATTAAATGCTGCATTAATATTTAATCTTACGTTTTAAAAGTTTAACGATAATACTTCTGACGCCACTTAATTTAAAGACATTTTGATGCACGTTGGGTCTTACTTTCCGAACAAACAATTATATTTTTCCTTGAATTTCAAAATTAATTTCGATTATTCCAAAATTTATTTCCAACGTATAAAGAATTTGTTGCAAAAATCACGTAAAAATGTCGCCGAAAACAATCGCAGTAATGAAAAATTGGTAACCCAAAATGTCAGGTTTGCAGGTCTGGATCCACCCCGAAATGTTTTTAATTCGCTCATGGAGTGGGCTTTATTCCTAAATGATATGAAATGTTGACCTCTAGGCGTAAAATTTAAAAACTGTGATACACTGACAAACTGACATTCGTATTTTATATACATATATATCGTCCATCGCAAGAAAAGTTGGCTCCCTGTGCCGCGCCAGGAAATTTTTCTCGCCGGAGTCGATACTTCAAATCTACAAATCAACCAATCGCCCTTGCAAGGAGTATTGCTGCCATATATGGAATGGAACCCCTCCTGTTTGTCTCAAGGTTCTTGATAAAATCCAGAGACGGATATGCAATGTAACTGGCCCTGATCTGGCATCTCGTCTGCAGTCGCTCTCTCACAGACGTGCCGTCGCCCCCCTCTGTATTTTTACAAATACTTTCACGGTAACTGCTCCGATGAGCTGCTTTTACTGGTTCCCAGACTTCATGAATTTAAGCGTTCAAATAAGCTGGCTTCTCGCTCTCACCCTTTCACTGTCGAAACTGTTAAATGTAGCCGTCTCTTCTACTCCAATAGCTTCATGTCTCGCACCTCTTGCCTGTGGAACTCCCTCCCCTTTTCCTGTTTCCTCGGATAGCTATAATCTCCAACTATTCAAATGTAATGTCAAACGACGTCTCCAGATGCCTTGATCTATCCCCTATCCTTCTCTTCATCCTTTCCTCTATCACTCCTATTTGCTCTCGCTCCAATTCTCTGTAACCCCTTGCGTGCTAGTAGCTTCCCGCGTTGTTTGGGGTGAAACACTTAATATATATATATATAAAAAGCTATTCTGAGTCGACGAATTTCGTCCTCTGAGGGATTTTACAAAGGCAAGTGCTCTGAAAAAGTCCTTCAGAGGACGAAACGGCATGTTTTTTTTTTATTTATAAACAGTATCGTTATATTTATTTAAATTTAGTATTTTATTTTATTTATTTTTATCGTTTCACCCCAAGCAAGCCGGTAATGTCACTAAATCAGGAGGGGGGCTTACAGGGTGTGAAAGTGAAAGAGAATAAGAAGACTCTGAATTATGGAGGATTAAGGAAAGGACAAAAAATGGACAGTGTTCAAAAGACGGAAATTTTTGAAGATTATTTTTATCAGGGAAGCAAGTAAGCGGAAGGGAATTTCACAGGTGGGAAGTGCGAAAAAATCAATCTTAAAGTGGCAGCTGCATCTAGCTAGTCCAACAGTAAAACGGTGTGACATAATTGCTAATCTAGTAGCACGCTTAAATTCATATAGTTAGCGCCACCAAGGGGAAAAATACTTATTAGATCAGTTGCCATGAAAATATTTGTAGAAAAGACAGAGGGAAGCCAGGTCAGATCGGTGAGAAAGTGCTCAAAGTCGAGATGTCGGGTCAAGATCGATTGTATTGCAGATCCCTTCTTTGGATTTTGGCAACCGTATACAATGCACGGGCGAATGATAGATTCGTAAATGTGCAAGATGTTTATTATCGTCTGCCGATGTGAATATTCGAGAAATCTTATAAAAAAAAATGTGAGACCCTATCCACACTCCGAGCAGCATTCGAACCTGCGTCCACCTTGGTAGCAGAAACCGTTGTTACATCCGACGTACTCAGACACGAAGAGCACTCTCTTCAGTGAATCCTAGAGACAATTAGAGGCCATTCTTAGGTGAATCCTAGAGACAAGTCGAGGCCTTTCCTGGGTGAATCCTAGAGGCAAGAAGAGCCTATTCTTTGGTGAATCCTAGAGACAAATAGAGATCATTCCTCGGTGAATCCTAGAGACAAGTGGAGGCCGTTCCTAGGTTATTCGTAGATACAATTATAGGCCGTTCCTCGATGTATCTTAGAGACAAAGATAGGCCATTTCTAGTTGAATCCTAGATACAATTAGACGCTATTCCCGGGTGAATCCTAGATACTAGTGAATCCTAGAGACAAGTAGAGATCATTCCTCGGTGAATCCTAGAGACAAGTAGAGATCATTCATCAGTGAATCCTAGAGACAATTAGAGATCATTCCTCGGTGAATCATAGAGACAAGTAGAGATCATTCATCAGTGAATCCTAGAGACAAGTAGAGATCATTCATCAGTGAATTCTAGAGACAAGTACAGATCATTCCTCGGTGAATCCTAGAGACAAGTAGAGATCATTCCTCGGTGAATCCTAGAGACAAGTAGAGATCATTCCTCATTGAACCCTACAGACAAGTAAAGGCCATTCCTGGGTGAACCCTAGAGGCAAGTAGTGGCCATACCTCGGCGATTCCTAGAGACAATTACAGACCATTCCTCATGGTGCTTATTGTTTTCATGTTTAAGTATAGTTGTGTTTTCAACAAGGATTTTCTGGAATTGTGTATGCGGCCAGGTATGTTGTTTTAAATGCCTAAAAATATTAGAGTTATCATTTAAATGTAGACGTGTGCGGGTTCAATGGCATGTTTTACCTTTGATACGGCATTCCATATGAAGGACAACGAACAACAGCCTGTGTGAAGGCCTCAGAAATCTTAGAGCTGTATTTAATCACATGCCTTGCAATACGTAAATTTTTCAATGCGTGACGGCTGAAAAGCTATAATGCATTTTATGCATACGCTGTTCAAAGCCTCAAAGGGCGACAGAACGAAGTCAACAAAATTTTAAATTTGCCTAAGATATTTCTTGCACCTAAACAGGCGTCTCTCTTCTTTCTTGTAAAACATTTGGCTGTACATTAGGATTTTCGTTGTTTTCCATCACCCAAAACAAGACAATGCACAAATGAAGATCAGCCCAGCGAAGTTGTTATGAAACTAGAAATATCTCTATGTCTTCAATATCGCACTTCGAAGACAGATTATTATTAGATACTAGTAGAGCCCGACGTTGCCCGGGGATGTAACAGTTAGAGATAGATCAAGTATCGACCATCATGAAGACTGAAAAATAAAATTGACAAAGATTATTGTTTAAGGTTGACGGACATGCATGTCTTCATTAGTTTTTTTTTTGTTTTGTTTTTTGGGTTTTTTTTACGAATTGGTTAAACCCAAACTCAAACAAAAACATTGTTTTCAATCGTTATGAGTCTACCGATTGAATAGAATTTTATTATAAACAATTGTCTTGTAAATGGAATTTTTAAAAGCATTCTGAATGAAAAAAAAAAAGAAAAAAGTGTGCAAGACAATAAGAAACACTACCTGCCAAAAAAAAAAAAGAAGTTTTGTTGAAATCGGTTGAAAAATGTAGGAAATCCGATCCCATATATAAACGAACACACACACACACACACACAACCTGGTTTTATAATAAGTATAACTCGATATGAGTTGTCCCCTTTCATTCTCGTGATCCCTCTTAATCGTGTTTTCAAACTGATTTCGTTAAAAAACAATTGTGTTTTTTCTAATTTTTGGCGCTGTCAGAACCACCGCAAGGTAATTTTACGTAGCCCTGTGAAGTTTTGTTGAAATCGGTTGAAAAATGTAGGAAATCCGATCCAATATATAAACGGACAGACAGACAGACACACACACACACACACAAACAAACAAACAAACAAACAATCTGCGTTTTATAATAAGTAAGATGTTGTCTGCTAGATTATAGCAACAGATTGTACGAAGACAGCGCTTGTGGAAGACAACTAGTTAGCGAACATGGTTAACGTAGGGAGACCAGGATACTAATCCGTACAGGATAATTGTATTTACTACAGTCTGGTATTTATTAAACTTGGTTTTCAAGGAAATTCATCTGACATTCGACAAACCTTTTCAAATTAGTCTCACTCTTCGGAGATGCGATAAATGACCACATTAACAAGAGAAGCTGAATTAAATCGTTGATTTTGGTTCGGGGGTAATTAAATGATATTGAATATTACAGTTCTTTTCCGGGAACAGTTATTGATACTGATAGTGTGTGCGGAAGAGTGTCACTGGACACAACGTACTGATTCCAGCATAAATGGATAGGGAGAGAGAGAGAGAGAGAGAGAAGAGAGAGGAAGAGAGAGAGATGAAAGGACTGAGATAGATAGATAGATAGATAGATAGATAGATAGATAGATAGATAGATAATGTTGAAATGTTGAAATAGATAGATGAAAAGGCTGAGATAGATGAAAAGGTTGAAATAGATAGATAGATAGATAGATAGATAGATAGATAGATAGATAGATAGAATAGGATAGGATTTACAATAGGACTTTCGTAATATCTCGTAAAACCAAATTAGGTTTTGCAAATATGTTAATAAAACATTATAAAAATTTTCACGTTATATCTTGAAAATTTTCGCACCATCGTTCAGTTAATACTATATATATATATATATATATATATATATATATATATATATATATATATATGTGTGTGTGTGTCGGGGGGGATATGCGTGTGGTGCTGCAAGTATTTGGAAACACATCTTTAGTGGGTCGTAAAATGAAAACAGCTACTTTATTATTTAAATATGCTTATTTTCTATTTAACTTTTCTTCATAATAAAATGCGTACATTATTTGCTTATAAAGATTGATTGCTGTATATATGGAGAAAGCGACGCATGCAAAGAGTGTAACAAAGATGAAGAGACTGGGATAGATAGATAGATAGATAGATAGATAGATAGATAGATAGATAGATAGATATAAATACACACACACACACACATATATATATATATATATATAGAGAGAGAGAGAGAGAGAGAGAGAGAGATGAACACCTGAGATAGACAGAGAATAAGAAGAAAATGACATGTGAGAAAAAGTAATCAGATAGATAGATAGATAGATAGATGTGAATACAGTGAATTAGATAGAGAGAGGGAGAGAGAGAGAGAGGGAGAAAGAAAGAGAGAAAGAATGACGTGAACACAAGGAAATTAGACAGATATAATAGATATATACATACATACATGTGGACAGATTGAAATTAGATGTGAACAGATTGAAATTAGATAGATAGATAGATAGATAGATAGATAGATAGATAGATAGATAGATATGAACAAATAAATAGATTGATTGACGCAAATATGGACTCGTAAAATTGTCCCTCTGAATCTCGTGTCGTCGAAGAAAAAAATAAATGAAATAGTTTAAAAATTAAAACCAACACATGAGATATATATGCAAAGCCATAACACAAAGATATATTTCAAAATGTATTATTCAGCATACCTTTAGATGTAAGTGCGTGTGTGCCTAAACCACCGCTTACCATTACATACATACATATTATATATATATATATATGAAAATAAGAAATTCCATTATTCATCGTAATATGTTTCAAATGCGTAAAACATGATACATTTTTCCCAAAGGTTTGAAGATGATATAATGTTAAAATCTAACCCACCTTGCAAAAACTCTCATAATAATAGCAGGGAAAGTTGAAGCGATAAACAATAAAAGCAGTTTCTCCTTTAAGGGGAGGAGGGTTTTGAATAAAAACACACATGACAAACAGTTGACATCATTCAGTATGCAATACAACGAAATCGATAGATAAAAGCAATAATAATAATAGAAAAAAAAAAGGAACCGAAGCGCTGTTTTGAATTTAAGAAAGGAGGAAATAATAAATGAAAAGAAATAAGTAAAACTCGATTCGTAAAACTTTTGAGCAAACATTTAATACGAAGGAGACAGGGGAAATATTGAATGGAAGAAAATTTCCAGATAGCAAATAAAAATATGAAAACGCTTCACTTTAAAAATGCATAATGGTTGTCGACTCGTTGAACGAGTATGACCATCATTGACAAGCTTCCCATTTCCCCGGGCTTGAGAATTTCGAATTTTCCTTCTATTAGATCGGTTGCCAACCAAGACTAAAGAACCTAGCCTGTGTTCCATTATTTAACTTTTAACAAAGAGAGGTACTTGCGCTAATATAAAGAGAATGTGACGAACGACTTGGAATCAAAACTTAAATTAGTTAATTCGAAGAAAACAAAAAAGGAAATCATATCAGATCGATTACGGTGAAAATATGTATAGAAAATGCATAGGAAAGCTACATTACGATAGATAGATAGATAGATAGATAGATAGATAGATAGATAGATAGATAGATAGATAGATAGATAGATTTGAACAAACTGTGATAGATAGATAGATTTGAACAGACTGATAATGAGAGAGAGAGAGAGACTGAGAGAGAGATTAACAAGCCGAGATAGACAGATAGAGAGAGTGAGAGAGTGATAGAAATAGATGTGAAGATAGATAGAAATGAGATAGATAGATATGATAGATAGATAGATATAGATAGATAGATAGATGAACAAACTGAGATAGATAGATAGATAGATAGATATGGATAGATAGATAGATAGATAGATAGACTGAGATAGATAGATATGAATAGACTGAGATAGATAGATAGATAGATAGATAGATATAGATATGATGGATAGATTTTTAAACAGACTTATAGGGAAGGAAAGTGAGAGAGATGAATAGACTGAGACAGTCAAATATCGAGAGAGAGAGAGAGTTAGCAAGAAAGAGATATGAAGAGAACGCAATGAGATAGCTAGATATGAACTAAGATAGATAGATACATAGATAAATAAGAACAAACTGAGACAGATACATGATGCGATGGATAAATTGTTGTCTAAATTATGCAAAATATGAAAATAACACTAACATCTAATTTTAACAGATATATATTTACAAAAATGACACAAAAATATCATGAAATACCAAAGAGTACATTTATTCTATAAAATCGCCATTGGCTTCAATCACGTCCTCCAGACAACTCCGGAATCTCCTGCAACTCTTCTGGATGGTCTCCTTTCTTTAAGTTATTGAATGTTGCCATAATATTTACCTTCAGTTCTTCGCTGTTACAAAGAGTTTTGTTGGTCTCTTGCTAAACAGCTCCCCACACATAATAATCAAGGAGGTTGTAGTCTGGGGAGTTTGATGGCCAGTTGTAAGGCTTGATGTGGTTGCAGAAATTGTTTGACAACCATGACTTGGTTCTACTGCTTGTGTGGCATATTGCAAAGTCCTGTTGCCAAACATAAGGTGTTCCAGCAGCCACCATCTTGACACAGAGCAGCACCACCTTCTCAAGTCCCTTGATGTAGGCCTCAACCTGACGTTCTGTAGGAAGATCAATGGAGTCATAACGTCTCCATCATCAGACCCCATGATGTTGACTGGATATATCATCCAACTCTTTCCAAATCCTCTGCACTTACCTCAGATTGACACTCTGAAATGTTGATATTGGAGTTTCCACGGTGGATGTCAAGCAGTCCAGCCCTCCGTTTCAAAAAATTCTAGCGGGCTTAAGGAGCTTTGTTGCTCTCCGGCTCCCCGGCTCAACTACGCCCACAGAGTAATACTCAAGGGGGTTGGAGTCTGGAGAGTTAGGTAGCTAGATATAAGTTGGTGATGTGATCGCAGAAATCGGCTGAAAGCCATGACTGGGTTCGTCTGCTTTTTGACATGGTGCAGAGTCCTGTTGTAAGACATAGAGTCTTTCAGTAGCCCCCATCTTGATGTAGTTCTCTGTGTCGAGTCGGAGGCACTGTGGGAACATAAATATAGTCACAACGTCGCCATCAGCAGTGACCACTCCAGACCCCATGATGTTGACTGGATATATCATCCAACTCTTTCCAAATCCTCTGCACTGTCCTCAGATTGACAACCAAACACTCTGAAATATTCGTATTGGAGATATGTAATCATTTATCGACATAAAATAGAAGGTCGATTTTTTATAGTTAACAAACGGATTATTCTTATTGTTTTTATTTCCTTTCATTTCTGGTGTGTACACATTCCCTTCCGGGCCCCGCGACCAGAGACCTAAGGTCAGAAATGACGCATGACATTTTCTCTGACCAATTAAAAAAAAAAAAAAAAACATATTTTACATAGATAACGCCTTTCGTAAGGTGTGGGCAATACAGGTGAAAACATTTTTTTTTTGTATTTCTTTAAGGTATGGGCTTCCAGGAATCTATTCAATTAATCTACTGGAATCTTTTCCAACCAATCCGAGGGCCCCAACTACAACAGGGATTGTTGATGTTTCCATACGCCACGTTTTTGAGATTTTGATTTCAAGGTCCTTTTATTGTGATAGCTTTTTGAAGATCTTCAAAGATACATTGCAGTCCGCTGGGTCTGCCATACCAATAAGGAGGCAATTTTTTTGTTTGCGATAACAATGTCTTTGATTGTTCTGTCTCTGTGTATTATTATTATTATTATTAGTAGTAGTAGTAGTAGTAGTAGTAGAAGTAGTAATCATATTATTAGTATTAGTACTAGTAATATTATTATTATTAGTAATATTATTAGTAATATCATTAGTAGTAGTAGTAGTAGTGGTGGTAATATTAGTAGTAGTAGTAGTAGTGGTGGTAATATTAGTAGTAGTAGTAGTAGTAATATTATTAGTAGTAGTACTAGTAATATTATTAGTAGTAGTACTAGTAATATTATTATTAGTAGAAGTGGCAATATTATTATTAGTAGTAGTAATATTAGTAGTAGTAGTAGTAGTATTAGATTTAGAAAGCGTTGAATGTGGATATGAGTTTCGAGAAAGAAAGAAAGAAAGAAAGAAGCAGTGATAACACTGTCATGAGTTTAATGTCTGCTTCAGTGAAATTGGCATAATATTTATAAGAAAGAACAAGAATATAAAAGAACCTTTAGGTTGTGGCCGACCGTTGTCCTACACAATCTCCTATACCCTGAAGGCATCCGCAATGTGTGTCACTTTGTCAAACCCCTGCCACCTGTTCACTCATTTATTCACCCAAGTTTGTCAGGTAGGTGGTCCGCTGTCATCCCTTGTCTCTTTTGATATTCCTTGTGAGTTTGGTATTCTTAGCTCTTGGGCAAAGTTGTGATATTTTTTTCCTGTTTTCTTTTTACTTTATCTCGTCTTCCGTCTTCATTATGAGCTGTTTTTGATAGCGATTATGTTTCACTTATGATGTATCCTTTGCGCAACCGTATTCATATAATTCTTATTATCATCATCCTTTTAATTTCACCAGCTTCAAACCTTTCCAAAAGAGAAACTATGATCTGGAAATGGAATAAAAGCATTGACGACACATAACCTGAATTCATTATAAAAAATCAGGATGTTTAATTAATACTAAACACTTCAAATACTTATAAGGATAGTTTCGCCCAATACCGCAACTTGTTACAAAACCAAAACATTAGCATTAAAACACGAGTCAGATCAAGATTTCCATATTGATGTCAGACATGACTCCAAATTCGTTCAGAAATAGCTAAGCTACCAGCTGTATTCAGCCGATTCCTAAGACAAATGGTTAAAAATGGCTTTGACTGAACGAAGCCTATAAGTCTTAGCGAGGGTCATCCTTCTTGAACGTCTTGGAATGGCGCTACATAATCGCAAAGAAACAAATGTACCAAATAAAAAAAAAACCACATCAGTTTGGGACTTTTAACAACAGCAACAACTAAAAGAAGAGAAAAATATTGTCATAAGACGTTGAAGTTCCACACGTCTTTAAGGCAGCAAGATCTCGTTATTTTACAGTTAAAATTGCTTCATGTAACCATAAGTTCTATGCTAACATTTCTCGCTTGTAGAACTCTCTTCCAGCTTTTTACTTCCCACTCAACTTTGATCTTCAAAAATTTAAATGCAATGTCAACATAACTTTCTGTCTTCTTAATTCAAGTTCTTTTATTGTCTTCTCTAATTAATAATAGTTTTTCTCCTAGTCTCTAACACTCAGTAACTCCTTGCATCCTAGTGGCTTTATTGCCTTTGATCTTCAGAAATTGAAATGCATTGTCAATCGTTATCTTCTTTCTTCTTGATCCCTGTTCTTTTATTGTCCTCTCTCATTAATAGTAGTTTTTCTCATATTCTTTAACACTCAGTAGCCCCTTACATCCTAGTGGCTTTATTGCCTTTAATCTTCAAAAATTTAAATGCATTGTCAATCATTATCTTCTGTTTTCTTAATTCCAGTTCTTTTATTGTCCTGTCTCATCAATAGTAGTTTTTTTCTCATATTCTCTAACACTCAGTAACCCCTTGCATCCTAGTGGCTTTATTTTCCTGTTTAGGGCATATGGATTTACAAAAAAAGCAAAAAGGTTGGGAAGGAAAATCCCATCAACACTGGAAAGAGCTATAACAGCTACTGGAATTGAGAAACCTATAAATTTTAACCGAATTAACAATGGCTGCTCTGATCTATTATAAGGAAACGGCTAATGTTACAATTACCATTGCCATCCTCGTTTTTCTTTGTGTCATGTTCCTTTATGACATGTGTTATTGTGGCTCCCCACAATTTCCTATCTTTTTATATCTCTTAGCAACGTTTGTCCCTTTGCCAAAACTCTTACCGATGTTCCGGCATCCATTCACCTTTGAGTGCCAGATTCTCCAAGCCTTCGATATCCTGTGAGTGTCATATTCTCCAAGCACTACTTCCTCATTATGTGACCTAAAAATTTGATTTAAGACATAAATTTCTGTTGTCACCAATCTTTGTTCCTTCACTATTATATTTCTTCCTTTCTTTATCACTATTAAAGTTTGGTTTCGAGAGTATGTTTTTGAGAAGTCTTTTTCTCTGATATGCCGTGTCCTTTCGGGACGTGAGTAATCACGGCTCTCCACAAGTTCCTTTGTAAATCTAAGCAACCATTCTCTCCTTACTCTCCGCCCTTATGTCCCTGATCTATCAGCCAGGCTGGATGAGCAGGTTGCCCAATATTTTCCTCTGCTCATTCTGCGTGCAATATGTCTAGTGAGTATCAAATTCTCCGAGCCCTCATTTCCCATCATGATTCCAAGAAATATGAGCTGTGTCTCTTTGATTCTTTACATTTTTGTGAACAGATTTACACACCCCCATCTATCGTATTCTCAACATCCTTCTTATTGTTCAGCCTTCCGTGCCATATAGAAGGATTGATATTCCATATCAGTTCAGCACTCTTTTCTTTGCATTCTCAACATCCTTCTTATTGTTCAGCCTTCCGTGCCATATAGAAGGATTGATATTCCATATCAGTTCAGCACTCTTTTCTTTGCATTCTCAACATCCTTCTTATTGTTCAGCCTTCCGTGCCATATAGAAGGATTGATATTCCATATCAGTTCAGCACTCTTTTCTTTGCATTCTCAACATCCTTCTTATTGTTCAGCCTTCCCTGCCATATAGAAGGATTGATATTCCATATCAGTTCAGCACTCTTTTTCTTTGCATTCTCAACATCCTTCTTATTGTTCATTCTTCCGTGCCATATAGAATATTCCATATCAGTTCAGCACTCTTTTCTTTGCATTCTCAACATCCTTCTTATTGTTCAGCCTTCCCTGCCATATAGAAGGATTGATATTCCATATCAGTTCAGCACTCTTTTCTTTGCATTCTCAACATCCTTCTGTAGAACCATCCATAGTTTGCCTCTAGGCTTCACTTCATTCACTGCCATAGAAGATAATTGATATTCCACATCAGTTCAGCACTCTTTTCTTTGCATTCTCAACATCCTTCTGTAGAACCATCCATATTTTTGCCTCTAGGCTTCATTCACTGCCATAGAAGATAATT